AGTGAAAATCCAATACTTCCAGGGGTGGTGTAGAGAGTGAAAGGAGAATTGGAGTTCAGACTTAACCCAAGAAGCAACCCACAAGAAGCAGATGCATAATCATGCAGAATTCCTTTTATTGTTTTTATAATCCTTTTAAAAACTCACTTGTTTATTATCCAGTGAGGTATTCAGGCATTCAGACAATTCTCTCCCTTAAACTAAGTAGCAAAGCTTTGTAGAGGAAAAAAGATTTCCTAGAAAATGTTTGTAGAAATTGGATGTATTTTAAATAGAAAAACAAGGATGTCAGGCTATAAACTAGCCTGCTGCACACACTGTAAATGACTGTTCATGCAAACTTGGGTTGAGAGTGAATATGTGAAGAACCCCATGTCGAAGACATCTGTTTCAGTAACATTGAAATTAATGTGAAAAACTGAGTTCTCATTCTATTTAGTATATACTGGTGACTTTGCACTTTCACTTTAAAGCTTAAGAAATTTTAATTCGTATGAAATTTTACTTTGTATCAATTATTTTGCTCAGTGATGTTACATATTAATTACTCCACAAATGATTTCTTGGATGTCTTTCTTTATACCTCCATCACAGAACTGTTGTGACCAAGGGTAATGTTTTGATAACTTACCAAAATTTTGTCAATTGTGAGAAACAGGAGTCCTCATTCTAACTTAGAGTTCAAAATAGTACACAACACAGGGTTTGTGTTTCAGATCATCACATGATCTGGAGACCGAGATTTGTTCAGGAACTCTATGCACTTCAGTCATTTGCACACCAGTGTTCAGAGCAAAGAAACCTTTGCAACAGGTCCCTGCAAGCCACTCCGTGTTTGACCAACCTGACATGTGATACACACACCACACTAAACAATCAGTGTTAGCCAGATAAAGAAGGGGAGGAATTGTGGATGTTAATACTTGAGTTATTGAACTTGCCGGATTCAATTTGGAGAACGGTAGTATAGATAGTTACATATGAACTCATATATTAGCAGTTTATAATACTAGGTAAGTTTCACTTTGGGGATATAAATTTATCTGTGAAAATTACATTATTATTTTAGCAATGTATGGGGACTTAAATATGTCCATGAAAATGTCATTATTATTTTAGTAGTATTTGAAAGATGATAAATTTATTTAATTAATAGATTTCAGGATTGAGAATTTTTTACTTCTGGTTTACACACACACATATATATATAAACTATTTATTATAAATATTAAATATAATAATTTAGATACAGATAGCTGAACACGGTGATGGATAGATGACTGGTAGATGGATACACAGTCTAACACTTGTCACAACTAAGAAACCTAATTAACTATAAACAACCATGTTACATTTGTTTGTAGTTATTAAATGAGTTCTAAATTGTCATATTGTGTAGTCCATAGCAATTTCTCTAAATGTGTTTGAATTAAAAGTAATTGCAACATTCTGTTAAGAAATTGATGCCATACTGGAAATAAATGCAAAAATTGGATTCCAAAAGCCACTAAGTAAATGGATGTCAGTCTCACACATTTTATCATAATTTCTGTTGAATTTCTTAACTGTATCTGTGAAAATATTTCCAAGTGCTATTAAGTATAAAAGAGGCAGCATTGTGCCATAACCATAAATTGGAGTTCAGTGTGCTCTTGCAGGCAGCATTTCCATTTGCATTGGTATTCATGGAATAGAATTCTTGGCATACAGATATGAGATGAAGTGCTCATAAAAACAGATTCACTTGTCCATCAGTGTAACATTTGATCAAGATGTGTAAATATGTATAGTCTAGAATGTTTAGTTCATATGTAGCAAGAGATTTTATAACCTCAAAGTGCTTCTACGTCCTTGAACCTAATAAAGAATTATGAGTCAATGTCACACCACTAATGTTACTGGGATTACTTGGGAGCCAGGAAGAGCTTTGTCAGGGTGAATGGCAAAGAAAAGAAAAACTGACAGCTCTGACCCTCGAAGTGTAGTCCAAGAGATTTACCTAACACTCTGAGGGAATGTAACAGCACATGTCTTTTCTAGTCTATCTTACAGTTCCGGTTATTTCCAAAGGACTTAATGTACAAACTCTGTAGTATTATTAAGAAAGTGTTTTCTGAAGGGAACAAATGCAGAGACCCACATCCAAACATTAGGCAGAGTTCAGACAATGCTGTGGAAGAGGGAGAGGAAGGATTATAGGAGCCAGTCTGGGTCAAGGACACCAGGACAAAACTCACATATGGGGTTCACAGAGACTGAATTGACCACCAGAGATCCTTCATGGAACTGACCTAGACCCTCTGAATGTGTGTTATACTTGTGTAGCTTGGTCATCTTGTGGGGCTGTTAACAGTAGGAGCAGGGGCTGTCTCACTTTTGCTAGCTTTTGGGATCCTACTTTTTATACTTGGCCACCTTGTCCAGCTTTAGTAGGAGAGAAAGTACCTAACCATACTGCATATTGATATGCTACGTTTTGTGGATATTCATGGGACTCCTACTCATTTCAGAAAAGAAATGAAGTAGGAGTGGATGGAAGGATGGAAGGTCAGAGGGGATGTAGGGGGGGCAGGGACTTGGAGAAGAGCAGGTAGGGCATTCTGCAGTAGAGTTGTAAGTAATAATAATTATAATTATAGTGGATGGCAGTGGACTGTGGGCGAGGCGAGAAGGGGTGGGAATTAAGGTGGCAGCAAGAACTTTGGTGGGAATGTAAAGTGAAATTTTAAAAAAGACATTAATAAAAGGAACGTGGGGGAATCTACTCCAAAGTCATAACAGAGATAACTGAATTGAGATATTATTTACTAGGTATTCAAATACTGAAGGACTGTTTAGTTTTGTCTTATTTTTAGCTGTAGCTTATTTTTAATTAAAAAATGGCATTATTAGTGAGTGAGAGACCATGTATCTGTGTTAAAGAAGCTGGAGGGAATAGCAGGTAAGATGAGTTTTAGCCTTGCTGATTGAAAAAATACAGATGGTAATCTGACAAGGCAGTAACAGGATAGTACCCCCAAAATATAGTATGTAATTAAAAAGGATTTATTTATATCTGAAAAATTTGAAAAAATATTTTGTACAGTCTGACTGTACAAAACTATGATGAAACTATGGTTAGTTTCTTTACCCTCTCTGGGATTTGCCTTGCATTCCCAGTTAGTTAAAGTGACTCGTTCATTATAACAGTTTGAATGTTTATGGTATTAACTATTCAGATGAAATATTTAGTTACATATGTATTTCTCTATATGAATATGTGTGTATGCATGTTTATTTGTATTACATATGTAATTTTATACATCATTAGAAATTATTACAGGTCATACCATGACTCACCCTTTTCTTATCATTTGTGAATCCTTGTTTATTCTTTTTATTCTAAATTAAGAATAGTAGTATCAAGCATAGCATTTGGAAGAAACAGTTTTAAAATGCTTATAAACTAATTTATATATACTTATGAATAACAACAGTAAAAATTCTCCTGTGTTTCTTACTACTGAAATCATACACATTCTCAAAAACCAAGAAAAGGTGCAAATGGTGAGATTTGGCTACAATGATTTCCTGTGCCCTAGAACTTTCACTTAATTAGGACTGAATCCAGGGATCCTCTCCTGCTACTGGACAATCCAACTGTATTTGCAATCATTTTTGCTTTCTTGGTTTCTTTAATATTTTATTATAATTAAAGGCTTCCTAATGGTAAAAGGCCATTGTTGATTTGAAAATTGAAATTATGTATGACTAAGCATCCTCTAAACCTTTTAGTTTCACTATTGATATTTTAATCATGAAAATCAAGCTCCCACAAGGAGCAGATGAGCTCATGTAAATGGTACCCAGTGTCTTCTTTGTTATGTAAATCGATAAATATATTGTGATGTTTCCGTTCAATGATCTATGTACTGGAAACAAACATAGCTTTTAACATGTATTGATATATGCATCAATAACAATCACAACTCTGTTATTGCCTACATTTTAAAGTTCATTCTCATTTTATATTTTATATATATACATTTATGAAGCATAAAATGTAATTTCATACATAAAGTTGCAAATATTAGTGGGTTTCACAGGGAGTTCTTATATATATTCCATGCAATCATAAAATCAAGTAAAATATAATTATTTTGTTCATCTCAAATGTTTGTCATTTCTATATATATTAAAAATTAATAAACTTTTCTTCTAGCCTTTTGAAAACTGAGGCACATTATTTTATTGTGGTGTCTTGCTCTGCAGGAGTGTACTAGAACTTCTTGTCCCTGTGCACTGAAACTCAGTATGCATTGGTCAAACTTTGCCCTCTCTCACTATATCAACCACACCTCTTGCAAACATTCTTAAATATCAGCTTCTGTGAGGTCCATTAGTTTAAATCACCAAATGAATGCGAGATCATTTGGTAGTTTTCTCTTTTCTGATGGCTTATTTTACTTAACACAATGAACTCTGATACTTTGTGGTCCTTCAAACACAAGGATACCAGTGTTTTACACCGATTTTCAGTATCACACTGTGTTTATGTACTATATTATTTTTTATGTTCACTAGTTATTGGTTACTTAGCTTCTTTCCAATTCTTGGCTCATCGTAGTAGGGCTTTCTTACCTCCATAGTGTGGATGTCTCTTCAACATTTTCTTTTATTTTGCGTGTGTATCCACTCACAGTAAACTTACTGGATCACAGTGCTTCTTTAGGTTTACACTAAAAAATAAATCTTGTATTGTTATCGTGAAACAATGTTAACATTTTTTCCAGTGTCTTGCAAGGCTTCTCTGACCCTTTGTCTCCTTTCTTCAGTGTTATTGGTAATACATTCTTGATGGGAGGAGGGATGACCACTGTCTCCTTGACATGAAACTGCCCTGTGTTTTGAAAGTGCTACTTAAATAAATTTTGGGGTCAAAATACACACAAAGCATTCATAAAACAGTCAAATATAACTTCTATCTCTGTGAAGAAAAATGACACTCTGGTATTTTGCAGGTGCCTATGTGCTCCAGGTCAAGGCCACAGATGCAGATGACCCCACCTATGGGAACAGCGCCAGAGTCGTTTACAGCATTCTTCAGGGTCAACCTTATTTCTCTATTGATCCCAAGACAGGTAAATTTTTAATTTGACAAAGCATTATCACCACTCACTCACATAATTCAACTTAATTAAATTTTGGAATCAAATATTGCCTATTCCATTATAGCAGTAAAGAATCAGTGAACCATCACGTTAAAAAAAAGATACCATCTTGTTTTATTGTTGGAGACATGTTTTATCTTACTGAGTAAATACATAAATTTTACTGAGCTTTGTGTCAATACAAATGTTTGCACCTCTATTTAAGAGGTCCAACCTTATTATCCAGAATTCCCTTATCTTTTTTGCTCATCAGTCTAGAAGCAAATTTCCATTTATTGTTTAATGTCAGATTTCTAAGTTGTGTTAAATTTTCAATCTTGTTGTTTAGCCATAACTGTAATTTCTATTGTTATCTGCATAAGTATTATATAGGGTTGGTTTTGAGAAATAGTGCAGTGAGGGAAGTTAAGCACTTGGGAACTTGATGTACTAAGATCATTCGCTCTTTTAGAATTGCTCTTCATAGGCAGAAACTATTTTTTAAGTTTTCTTTTTGTTTGATGTGTTTGTTTTTAACAAGTACATAAATGAATTTCAGATTTCAAAACTAGCTATAATGTAAGTAGAATTATAAGGGCTTCTGTGTATACACATGACCAACTCCATGTTTCCTTCCTTTATTCATCCATGTTCTCTCTCTTTTTTTTTTTCATTTTGAGGTGAGAGAGATCAGTCCCAGGGCCAATATTTAGTAAGTCAGCATTCACAATTGAGTTGAAGCTCCAGGTTTTGGTATTATTTTAATGAGATGCAGTTCCCCATTGAGACAATCTGGTATGAAATTCTGCCTTTCATTAAAGATACAGTCACTCTGACCAGTGAACAAAACACATCACATGTCCCAGTTAAAGAGAAACATCAGAATGGCACTTAATAAATAAATCATTAGCTGCAAGTTAAAGTAGATTTCAAAGTAAACATGCTATCTGAATATAATGTAGAAATTCTCAATATGCTAGAAAGAATACATTCAAATAAATATCCAGTGTTCTTCATTTTTGAGATTATAATATACTTAAAATGCACCTCCTTTCACTTTTTCTCCCTTCAGATCTTCCCACGTACCATTGTATGCATATGAAAATATGTAAATGCATAGGTATTTCTAAACATAATCAATACAGTCCATATAGTGTTACTTGTATGAATGTTGTCATGCTGATCATTTGGTATTGGACATCCCGTACATAAGTGTTCTCTTCCCTGGGTAAAACCGCCATTCTCCTACCATTCCTCAACTCTAAATATAAAAGTCCTCGAGGTCTTTTCCATGCACTTTGGCACACCCATTGATACCATCCTTGTTCTAATTGAAATTTGGTGGGGGCGTTTCGACGCAGGATTACATTGTATTGCTTTGGAGGTCGTCCTGGAACTCCCTCTGTAGACCAGGCTAGCCTCAAACTCACAGAGATCCACTTGCATCTGCCTCCCAAATGCTGGTATTAAGTGCATGCACCACCAATGCCTGGCTCTCAAATTAAAACTTTAAATTTATATATTTAAGTAAACCTATTATATTATTTGCTTTGAGAATTTCATACACACATATAATTTGCTTTGATAACTCCAAATATTTGTAATTCTCAAAGAATACATTTTTATAAAGATATTTTATGATAGGATATTTCCTTTGGTGTTCCGTGTGTGTGTGTGTGTGTGTGTGTGTGTGTGTGTGTGTGTGTGTGCGCGCACATATCACATTGTATGTGTGGAAATCGTGAAAAATTTGTTGGAATAAGTTGGTTTTCTTTTTCTGAAATATAGTGCTCAGGGATTAAACTAATGTTGTCAGACTTAACAATAAGCTTGACTGTAAGTCTTCTCACTAGTGTTCTTTAAGAAATGTTTCAAGAAGGATGTATGAGATGAAGATGTTAGACAGAGTGATGGAAATTAAAAGCCAGAATGCTGAATATTTAAATGATTGTGTGTTGCAGAAATAGTGTTTCCAAATTATTTATTCAAGAACTATGAGGGAAAGTGGAAAAAGATAAACAGGAATATTGTTTTAAGAAGCTTGCTGAAATTTAAGGGAAAAATCACACATATATGCAAACAAAAATTTGGAAAGGAAAGTGATTCAGGTAGTGCTTTTGTGAACATAAAGTTCACAAGTTTCTCAGAAATACAAGAGAAATGATACACAACTTGACAATGAGGCAAACTTTTGTGAAGCTTACCTGTCTTCTCATGGAATCCCTATGTGCTATATCTTCTTATAGATTTATAGAACTCTTTCAACTTTACCTTAATGAAAACGTGACCATAAATGAAAACACTAGTGCTACCTGTTGTTTAACTTCTTTTATTCCCTAAAGAACACACTGCAGAGACACAAAGACAAGCAGAAAGCAAACGTGGTGTGGGTAATGGTTGTTGGAGTAAGGAAGTCCACAGACTCAGAATTGTGGTGATGAATTCTACAGAGAGGGTGATTTTGACAAACTCAGAATTAGTTTCCAGAAAGACTGACATCTTAGTAATGAAAGAATCATTGCAGGTGAGACAGATAAAAACAATATCTGATGGAAACATATAGAAGAATATTAATTTTAGCACATTAAATAATCCAAAATGTGTCTCTCCAAAATAAAACCTCACATAAAATTATGTAAGTGAAATCTGAAACCTCTACTTTATATGGTTAATATGAATGGAAGATAAATTCTAGTGTATATGAAAAGTATTATTTTGTAGTTGAAAATGTATGTGTTTTGTGGTTGTGTAATCTTGTACTCCGAATTTCAAATGAAGCTCGTTCTTTCAAGGTAAAGGTGAGTCTCTTCTGGCATCAGCTACATAATAGATTTCAGTACCATTGATTTTCAGTGGAGACAGGAGTCTTGCTGTAACAATGCCACAGACCACTAGACAGGAAAAGAGTGGGTGATGAGGTACTTCATTAATAGAATGAAAACTAGTTCTTCATGCACAAAAACCATTAAGAAGACTTTTTGTCAAATTTATCACCTTGTGGTAGATAAGAGAAAATCAAAAATCAAGGATAACTGTAATTTCTCAGAAATAGTCTCCATTTGCTCCAGCTATGTCATTTCATTTTATGATTCAGTTTGCTGTTATTAAATAAAATACATAAAAACTATTATTATCTAAAATTTTATCATTTGAGTGTAGAGACCATTTAAAATAATTATTAACGGAGGAGCACCATAAAACTTTGGTGTTAAACATTTAGAAAAAGATAAATATACTCGCTATTTATGCAGTTGAAATGGGAATATGCAAATGATTTCAGCATTGATATTGCTGTTTGATATGCATCCCTAACTCTACATTCACAGTGGATTAGAGCAAACTTAAAAAAAAAGATAAATATACATTATGGTAAAACAAGACAGCCTGTGAAATAAGCCAACAAAAACTATAGTTCTCATGAAAGTTCTCTCATTTCCAACTTATTTGCTTTCACCAAGAAGTGATTTACTCTGATTATATATATTCATTCCTTTTCCTTAAATTACTCCTTAGTGGTATTTTGAAGTAAAAATGTAGGTGAATTTTTAAAATATCATGCAATTGTATCTAATTTTATGTTTATGGGACAGTAAGATCTTACATTTACAACTTGTTTTAGTTTAATATCTGCTTCCATGAAAAAATACCTTGACCAGAACCAACTTAAGAGGATTTATTTGTTTTACATTTCCAGATTACACTTCATTACTATGATTAAGCCAAGACAGGCCCTTAAAGTATCACATTCACATTCTCAAAGATAGAACAAAGTCTTATATCCTTGTTTCCTTTCTTTCCACTGATGCTCTGATAGCTGTCTTTGCATTTAAAAATTTCCAGGCATGCCTTATGGGATGGAGCTACCCATAGTAATCTGGGTCAGTTAGTATTCAAGGCAAAGTATCATAGGCATGTCCATACACCAGTCTAATGGATCTAATTCCTGAACTAGAATCTCTTCTGAAGTGATTCTCAATTGTCAAGATGACAGTTAATGATGAAGAATTTCTGTTATGCCAGATCCCACAGACATTCAGTTACAAATAAATACATAGAGGCTTATATTAATGTTAAACTGTGTGTCCAATGACTGAGGCTTCTTACTGACTAGCACTCTCTTAATTTCTAACCCATTTCTATTAATTTAAGTACTTCCATATGGTCTTGGCTTATCAGAGAGACTGTCCCAGTAACTACATGGGGTGTCCCCAGTAGCTCTCTCTCTGTGTCTGCTCCCCAGAATTCCCCCTGTATGGTAGCCCTGCCTATATTTCCTGCCTAGCTATTGACCAATCAGTGATTTATTTATTAACCAATAAGAGAAACATATATTAACAGCATACAGAAGGGCATCCCCCATTAGATAAACCAAGCCACTATGCATGTATCATTTCAAAGTATGAAAAGAAAAACAAAAGACTAGAAAAATACACAATAATATTACATTTAATCTACTACATGAAATCAAGATGCCATGTCTCCATAACCATGACAGCAATCTTCAACTCAGGAAAAATAAATATTATTATGAATAATTGACTCTTTAGTCTTTACATTTCTGTAAAACTCTTTAATATATTTAATGTTTTGTGCACAACTAACCTGTTTAGACAACTCTAGATTGATTCATTGTGTACCATGTGATGATTTATTTTTCTCAAGTGAAACACTTGCCACTTGAAAAAGACTTATGGCATTTTGTTTCAACACCATTTATTTAATATAAAATCTTCCTTTTCATCATGGTAAAAATATAAAATTTACATTTTAACCATGTCATGTGCAATTTATCAGTATTAAAAGTCTTTACGTAATTCCATAATCACTGCTACCAAGAGTCTCCAGAACTCTTTGGTCAAATATTTTAAAACTGTGTCCCTTATAATGTTTTTCTTCTGCTGATGTATTCAAATGATACTATCTAGTAAGTTTGTGACTGTAAGATCTAGTTGGTTTCCTCTTTTTCTACTGTTTATACTTTAAACTATGCA